AAATACAGCAATAAGAATATTAAAAATTCCAATTTGTGGATAGAGTACTATATATAAATGGTTCTTATATTAACAATTACATAAGAATTATGTAGTTGGTCTAATTACTATTCTCTTTCTCCTCCTTCCTTCCTTTCTTCCTTCCTTCCTTCCTTCCTTCCTTCCTTCCTTCCTTCCTTTCTTCCTCCCTCCCTCTCTCTTTCTTTCTCTCTTTTTCCCTCCCTCCCTCCCTCCCTCCCTCCCTCCCTCCTTCCTTCCTTCCTTTCTTCCTTCCTCCCTCCCTCTCTTTCTTTCTTTCTTTTTCCCTCCCTCCCTCCTTCCTTCCTTCCTTCCTCTTGCTTACTTGCTTGCTTACTTGACAGGGTCTTGCTCTGTAGCCCAGGCTACAGTGTAGTGATGCTATCTAAGCTCACTGCAACCTCTGCTTTCCAGGCTCAAGTGATCTTCCTGCCTCAGTCTCCTGAGTAGCTGGGACTAAAGGCACATGCCACATACCTGGCTAATTTTTATATTTTTTGTAGAGATGAGATTTCACCATGTTGCCCAAGCTGGTCTCAAACTCCTGGGCACAAATAAGCTGCTTGCCCTGGCCTCTCAAAGTGCTAGGATTACAGGCATCAACCACTGTGCCTGGCTAATAACTACTATAATTTTAAAGTTGCAATGAGTCCAGATGATATTTTGAGATGCTCTGCCAACTATAAAGTGATTTAAAAAAAACTATGATCTCTATTCATGCAACCTTACAGCAACTGCTTATACTATTGTGGTTTGTGGTCCACATTCATAATTGAATACTCTTTGGTTAGAATTAGTAGAAATAAAGAAGCAATTATTCCTAAGTTCAAGGGCCCCCTGAACTCTGTCAAAAAATACTTTGAAAGTGAAGAGCGCCTGGAATCTAGCTCTTCATCTTTTTCCCTTGTAGGTGGTGTCCCTGTCACCTTGCAAGCCTGTAGCAAAGATTCTCCTTGTCTCAGCCTACATCAGATCTTCCCTTAAATACTACATGATGTGGTGGGCCAAATATTGGTTTTGAGCCAGAAGGTCCATGGTTTCAAATACATTCCTCCTAACTTAATTTTAATCTAATTCTTATTGACCATATTTGTAAAACCTACTTCATAGGACTACAGTGAGAATTAGAGATGGTATATATGACTTGGCATACAGTAGGTCCTTAGTAAAGATTAAATGTCATTTATTCCAAGTTGTAAATTACTTCTTTAAAATTTTTTTTTTTTAGTGTTTTTCCAGTTAAGAGATACTTAAGTCTTAATGAGGAGTCATAGCCTGGGCCTGTCATGAAGGAGCGCTGGTGGGGGAGTGGGGGAGCTGTGTAGGGGCCTGGCAGACTCAGCACAGGACACAGTCATTAACTATGGGAGGGATAGGATAAGCCATCCAAGCCCTAGGCCTGGCGGAGTTGATTTCTATGTGGTGGGGAGCAGAGTGCGTTTGTATCTCAGGAAATCTCCTCGGCCATTGACTGGTTTTCCCTGGCTTCTTTGTCAAGCCTGGGTTGTTTAGTTTTTTATTTAATTTTTTAAATTCCGGGGCACATGTGCAGGATGTGCGAGTTTGTTACATAGGTAAATGTGTGCCATGGTGGTTTGCTGCACCTGTCAACCCATCACCTGGGTATTAAGCTACCTGGGCTCTTTCGTTTTGACATTTGTTTTTTCCTCGTGGATTTTTCTTCTCATGACACATCACGTAAGTGTTGTGAACTCAGGTCTGGGGAAACAGTGTATTGTTTTAGGCATGGGACGTTGGTAGTATATGGAACCTGTGAAAGGCATCAAGTGTGCCGGACTCAGAGATGCAAGGCTTGAGGTTTCGTGGTGTGTGTGTGTAATGATGCAGTCAGGTCAGACATCCAGGGCTGGGACCAGGTTGCTGGACTCTCCACCTGGGCTGCGAGTGCTGCACAACACCCAAGGGCTCTCCTCACATAGATACAGTGAGTGCTGACAGTGCTGTCTGGGGCCGTGTGGCACAGTGGTCGGCTTCCAAACCAGTGCTCCTTCTTTCCATCCTCTTCACTCTCAGTCTCCCTAGTTTTGAGTGGTTGCCCCAAGTGCCAGTTTTCCTAAAAGCTTGGGTTGGATCCAAGGAATGTAGTCCTGGAGGCTTCATCAGGAATTCTGCTGTACAGACAGATGCCAGGGAGCTATGCAATTAGAACTTTCTCTGCAAGGCTGCAAGAGGAACTCTGCTCATAATGGCCCTGGGTAGGAATCCTTCTTAGGATTGAGTGGGAAAACTGGGGAAGATCTTGCTGCCGTGGCTTAAGAAGGGTATTTACCTTCCCTTCTTCATTGCTTATTGCAGAAATGTGCTCATGTTAGAGTTTACCGTGTGCCAATGTTAGAGTTACAAAGACAAGAGCTTAGAATATGGCTTAGGAACCTGGTTTTCATCATTCACTCCTTCTTGCCTCTTGGATTCCCCATGGAGAGATCCTGATTCCCCAGGGTTAAGCACCGAATGGAAACAAAATACCACTCCAGTGACAGTTGGGCAAGCACCTCACACCTCCTTCCTCTCCATACTGCCCCCATTCCTGCCACTATTGCACAGTTTTCTGGCCAGCTGTGCTGGGGTACAAGGCAGACCAGGAAGCCTAAGCAGGTTTCCTATCACCTCCTCCCACAAAGCCAAGAGGGATCTGCAAAAGAAGCCCGTTTGTTTTTCCATCCAGTCGCGGATATGTGAGAGCTGAAACAGAGCTGATGAGATACATTAGACTTGGCCCACTATGTAGGAAGAGCCTAGGGCATAAGTCCTGCCCTTGAGAGTGCATGGGCACCCAGCCCATAGTAAATCATGGCCCAGTGAATGTCTTGTTTCCAGTATCACAAGCTGGGAGCTGGCCTTGACTCCTTCTCAATCCCACACCCAGCCATTCACCAAGTCCTACTCATTCTACCTCTAAGATATATATTTCAGATCCATCCGCTTTTCTCTATCCCCTCTCTACCATCAAAGCCACTGCAACCTCATCTCTAGTATAGCAATTGTATCTTCCTAGGTCTCTCCAAATCCCCTCTGCCCCAGCCACCATCTGTTATCCACACTTTTGCCAAGGAAATACCTTGAAAATGTCTATCTGGCTAAGTATTTCCCCTATTGAAGCCCTTCGATGTCATCTTGTTGCTCTTTGATAAAAACGTTTTCAGCGTTTCTCATCGTCCATCCCTCCCCGCTTATAGTCTGTGTTTCAGACATAATGAACTACTTTCCTTTTTTCCAAATGGGTCATGCTCATACTTGCTTTTTCCCATGCTCTTTCCTCTGTGTGGGACTTTTAACACTCCCCCTTCCTGCTTCAGTGAACTCCTACACAACCTTCATGTTCTCAGCTTAGCTGTCACTTTCTCTAGGAAGCCCTCTTTCCTTTCTCTGGGTTGGTGGTCTTCTTACCTGTTTCTGCAGCTGCAGAGATCAGGTATTGCCCTTGTCTGTTCTCTGGTCATGCTCCCTGGCTTTGAGAACAGAAGGGGCCTCCTTGACTTCTGCTGGGCTAAGCATGTAGGGTCTTCCTTCCATTCCAGACCATGTGGATTCACTTCATCTCTTTATGAGTTTGCCTATGGCAAAAGAAAAGGGGGCACTGGACATCATAATGGATGGTGTCCACAATAGCAATGATTTCTTTTAATAGGCAGACATTCCATGTATTACTGGTTGTTTTATTGTCTCTCAACAAAATCAAGGGTGAAATGAAATGTCAGCTCTTTAAGTGGTGATTCTATGCTTTTTGGCTATGTCTGGAAACTCCTGTATGGAACACGATTTCACCTCTCTCCTCTTAGGGTGGAAATGCTTGAGAAACCCTGAAAAGATGTTTGTGTTCCACCTCCCGCCATTGGAGCATTAATAGTTCAGCCAAGCTTTCAACAAGACCTATCAGATGATTCACTGTAGAGCCTCTGGGGAGGGTCTAAAATGATGTGTTGTTAATTAGAAGAGAATCTGTACACTCTAGACAGCCAAATGCATCTTTTCCATTCCCAGCATTTCCTGAGCTTCTTCCCTGTGCCAGGCTCTGCTGGGTGCTGGGTTACAGAGGTGACTCAAGATCCAACCCCGCTCTTGAAAGTCTCACCCATACCTAAGATCTATAGGAATGGCATGAAGGAAATGTTAGGAGTTGAGAGATGGCAAAAAGCACAGAGACACACCCAATTACAAGGAGTAAGTGAGAATGGTGCATCAACATTTACACAGTTATGGAGTATGGCAATAGTAAAATCTTCAGTTTAAAGATGCGCCAGTTGTCTGCATTAGCATCCCTTCCAGCTGATGAAATTCTAGGAGTTTTAATGAATGAATGCTACACTTACCTGAAGAATCCAGCAGAGTTACTGACTGGTTCAAAAATAATTGTGCGTATGGTAGGATAAGAAGCCACTTATGCAACAATGGCGCTGTTTGATAAACCAGCATTGTTTCTGCCAAATTTGTGGCCTGTAGATAAATGCATTCCAAATAGGTACCTGAGTGTCCAAAGCAACATAGAAACATGGCACAGAAGATGGAAAAATCTAATGGGGAATCTCATCATGTTGAGGTATATTAAATCAAAGAAGAATTTCAAAAACAGCAGTGCCATGTAGAAAACTAGTGTAAACATATTCTCTATGGGGAGCCATACTCTAAAAGAAAAAAAAAAGCAGCTGTTCATCTCCGTGCAAGACTTCAAAACAGTTGATGATGGTAAAAGTTGGGCAGCCTTACTGACTATCTCCATGCAATTGCCATAATCTAGCCTTGTAATACACCTTTTCATGTCAGAGCTTCTTTTTTGTTTTGATTTTCTCTTCTTTTTTATTCTTAAAGTTTTTTTCCTCCACTACTTAAAATTATCAGTGTTATCTTTTACAATTTGCTATGTTACATATTTCATCTTTGCTGCATTTCCAATCCCGAAGGTATAAATTGTGTAAAGCCTTTTTAAAAGAATTCTAATTTGTTTTATGTATTTTTTTTTATAGATTTGACTCCATGAAAGTGCATTATCGCAATGTTGGCTTTGTGTGTAAGCATCGTATGTGTATGTAAAAATGTGGAAACTTCCTTAATAAAGAGATGTCCTTTTTGTACATTTGCACTTGTGACAGGTAAAATTTCTCTAGGACTCAGCTCTTTGGGTGACTTGCATATGCTGCGGTGGTGACCCATTGAGGTCCTTTTACCTGTCTTGTCAAATGACTGAGCTTGGCCATGATGATATTTCCGGTGACTGCAATTATGAAGCTGAGGGCACACAATTACCAACCATAGTGATATGTGTTTATACAATTCACTTTTTGATTTCCATGTAAATCTGGCTTGTCTGCTTGTGACTATTATACCCATGTGACTGTCCTAAGCACACTTGAATGTTTATGCTCCAAAAACATGAATTTTATTATTGCCTATTTTATTGCGTAGGTTATAAAGTATTCTGCCATGCTCTTATGTTTCTCAAATAAATCATCTTTTAAAAATGTAAATGTATTTTAAATAATGTTTTAAACATTATTTTTTTCCAGAGTTGAATTTTTAAGATTTTCATCTTAAAATTGCATGCTAAAGATTGCAATTTTCAATATTTTAGACTTTAGGGATTTTAATCTTTTGGCATTTCAACATTTGGGATCATGGCATTGGGGATTCTTTCAGGATTATGGCCTGTTGAGAAGCATTAAGTTTACCCTGCCCCATGGTTCCTTTGTGGAGGATATCTTTGAGTTTATAATCAGTGGTAGGTGGATAACAGCTGCCTACCTTGTATATTCCTGAGTCAGGTGTATATGCAAAACACCTGTGTGTTGATAAGAATCACCTGTCAAAGATCAAATAAATATGTGGATGAATCTCTGCTCTGGGGTTAAGTCCTGGAGAGCTGTCAGCCCCGCAGGCTCTCAGGCTGTTGGTCCCCAGGATAGATCCACTCTGTTGTGCTATCTGGGTGTCTGCCTCTCAGCCCACCTGGATGGGGGTCTCCTGAGCAAGCAGGTTCTTGGTAATGGCCCAAACCCGCTGGAACATTTCTGATGAAACCAATGGAGATGAAAATCCTAAGTTTTCATTGTTCATAGATTTGCCTCAGAAGCATGATGATGATTAAACTAACAATAATAGCTATCACTTTTTATAACTGGGATGTTGAGGAGACACAAATCAATATTGCCTCTTTCCCTTCTGATTCTGAACAAAGACAAAGGAATGAGGAAAATGGGGTCCAATCCTCATCTATATGACTGGAGCAAGGACTTGGAATGAGAACCCACAAAGGCTTATTGACTTTCCACCCTGAAACTGGATCTCGGAGCAACCAACCTGTGGACAAATTGGAATCTACAAAGCCACACGCTTCTTCAGGTAGGGAAGGGCGGAGGAAGAGAGGCTAAGTCTCCCTCCTGGAGATCTTTGATGGGTCAGAACCCCCCCTTAAAGAAACAGAGAGGATTGGTTCTTGTTTACCAGCCAGATAGCTCACTGTCTCCCCAGGGAGTACTAAGAGACCAGACGAGAGGCACAGTGTGTTCAGGGGAAAGCTCCCTCATAGCAGTAACTATTTAGAGTGGGGCAAACTTGTCCCTCAAATGTTCCTCGTGTTTTCGTCATAGTCAACCCATAATCAGTGTGGGATGTGGCCATCCCTCCAGGGGGAGATCAGTCCTTTGTAAGGACAGCTCTGCCCCTGCTTCAACAGGCTGCACTTCCCATTGAAACCTCTGTTCCTTCAGGTGTTCTCCTTGGCCTGCTGGCAGACAGGGGAGACTGTGCCCTTGGAGGGCTCTGAATTGAAGCAAGTCACATGTTAATAAAATCATCTCCAAGGACACCCTGTTCAAGGCTCAGAGTTATTTCATTTCCTACCTCCTATCCCAAATGATGTCTATCTACGTTGCCTAATACAGCACCAAAGCAATTCTGGTCCAGCTGAGGAACAGGTGTGAGGAACAGTGTCTGCCAGGACAGGCACTACAGGAGAGCCTTGGAGGTCGGGGAAAGCTGGGGCTGGGAGGGGCTTCTGAAGGGGCCCCCTATGCTTCCAGAGGGGAGCTGCTCTTTCAGATTTGGGGCCTGCAAACTCCATTTAGGAGAAGAAGGAGGTTATGAATGAGGGCAAACCTCTCTCTCTCTCTCTCTCCCTCTGCCTTCTTCCTAGCCTTACCCCCTACTCCTCTCTCTCTTCCTCACCCTTCCTGAATTAATGACCCCACCAAGACTTTTTCCAGAGAAAAAACAACCAAGCCAGAAATCACCCGGCCTCTCTGACAGCCTGGCCCATTCCTACATACTCATATCTCATGGGCAGTCTCTCCCACATGTCACTGGGCCATGGAGAGACTTCCTGTTCATCCGCTGTCAGATACGAGTTCTTAGCACTTCTTGGCAAAGGATCTTGACAATTGCCTCGGGAAGGAAAACAGCACCATGGGTTAGCGGAAAGAATGTGGCGTTTGGAGGCGGCTCAATTCCCAGTTCTGCTACTTAATACCTGTGTGACCCTGGGCAAGTCACTTAACCTCTTTGAGTTTCAGTTTCCTCGTCTGTAAAATAAACACAAAGATGATAATAGAGAGCTTGTAAAACTGCTTTGAAAGCCATTCAATGTGTGAAGTGTGCTTGTGAGACCCATGGGAGGCAGGTTTTAATAGTTTGGAAGATTCCATCATAGCCTAATTGCAGTTTTATGGGCCTCTTCCTTTTGATAAATAATAGGACTTATCCAAAGACTCTGAAATTATAGAAATCCCACAGAGTGTCTGCTCTGCACAAGGAAGCTCCTAAACCATCTTCATTGGGCTTTCTAATAAATTTGTCTTTTTTTTGCTCCGAGTCCATGCCCACATCCTTCTTAGTGGTCGCTGCTCACTAAAAACATTTTGAAAATGCCCTCTCACAGTGCTCTTTCAGGCATTCTTTTACTAGACTGGCTCTGGTTTGTCATGAATTGTATGTGTCTTGAGGTTGTCTGTATGTGGTGGTAGAACTGACAGTGTAAACAACAGGACATAGGTCCACAGGACACGGGAGGCTAGCTGGCCCATTGTCCTTGTGATCCTTAGTATGGGTCTACCCCATAGGTGACTCAAAGCACCTTTGCGACTCAAAGTCTTACAGGCCAGGCATGGTGGCGCTCATCTGTAATCCCAGCATTTTGGGAGATCAAGGTGGGTGGATCACTTGAGGTCGAGAGTTCGAGACAAGCCTGGCCAACCTGGCAAAACCCCGTCTCTACTAACAATACAAAAATTAGCTGGGTGTGGTAGGGACACCTGTATTACCATCTACTTGAGAGGCTGAGCAGAAGAATTGCTTGAGCCCAGGACGCAGGGGTTGCAGTGAGCTGAGATGAGACTGTGACGCTGCATTCCAGCCTGGGTGACAGAGCAAGACTCCATCTCAAAAACCAGAGCAAAACAGAAAAACAAAGTCTTCCAGACTTTGGAGGTTGGAGGGAGCTCAAGTCAGACCAGTTTACCCAAAAATCCTGCTCTGAGGCCAGATGCGTTAGAAAGAACATCTCAGTAGGTCACGTGAATGTTTCCCTGGGGGTACCACCTAGGCTTATTGCATTTTCTTATTGAATAAGAAAATGCATGTACTGAGAAGATATTGAGTAGCTTCCAAAACTGATGGAAGACCAGAGAACCAGCTCTGGAAATGCATGTATCCCAGGGAGTTAGGCCACAGCTGAAGATCCCCTTTGCCCTGAGGAGGTGCTTGCTAGCAGGTAGCCACTAGTCACCACTGCTGCCACCACTGCACCTTCAAGCTTCTAGCACTGAACTTGCTGTCATTTGAGTTAAAGTCCCAATGTCTTCTGTGTCATTGGATTGCTTGCTCGGTAGTCACAGACTTGAGTTGGAACACCCTGTTGACTATTCTCAGATTGTGTGCTCATGTTCAGGAACCAGGGAGCAGGGAGAGTCCTCTTTTGTTTTCAGAGTCAGATCACCTAATAGGGAGTGCCTCCAAAAGCAGGAAGGTGTTCAAAAGATTAATATCAAATAGACTAGAAAAGTAGCAGCTTTAGTGTATTGTATTTAATTCCTTTAGTTATTTTATTTTTATTTATTTATATATTTTTTGAGATGGAGTCTCACTCTGTCGCCAGGCTGTAGAGTACAGTGGTGCAATCTTGGCTCACTGCAACCTCTGCTTCCCAGGCTCAAGTAATTCTCCTACCTCAGCCTCCTGAGTAGCTGGGATTATAGGCATGCACTACTATGCCTAGCTAATTTTTGTATTTATAGTACAGATGGGGTTTCACCATGTTGGCCAATATGGTCTCGATCTCTTGCCCTTGTGATCCGGCCATCTTGGTCTCCCCAAAGTGCTGGGATATAGGTGTGAGCCATCCTTTAGTTATTTTTAAGATTTTTTAGTTTTAGTTTAAAAAAATTTTTTTTTGGGACAAGGTCTTGCTTTGTCACCCAGGCTGAAGTGCAGTGGCGCAATCTTGGCTCACCCCAACCTCCGCCTTTTGGACTGAAGCGATCCTCCCATCTAAGCTTCCCAGTAGCTGGGACTACAGGCACACACCACTATATCTGACTAATTTTTGTATCCTTTTTGGTAGAGAGGGTATTTCACATGCTGCCTAGGCTCATCGCAAACTCCTGGGCTCAAGCAATCCTCACCCCGGCCTCCCAAAGTGCTAGGATTATAGGTATGAGGCACCAGACTTGGCCAATTGATTGTCTTTTAAATACCACTTTTGATCCTAGAGACAAAAGATATAATTGAAATGTTCTGTTCACCCCTAACACTTGGGTATAGCAGAAAAAATACTGACTTGGTCTCAATTTCTCTGTCAATTTCTTCTGTGAAGTGGGAATTAAGATGATGATTCTGCACAGCTCACTCCAGGTTGTTGTGAATGTCAGATGATATAGAAACATTGCCAACTGTTAAATGCTGCGTCAGAGGAGCTGATGGTATGACAGCATGGGTATTTTCCCCACCATCTGATAAACCATTGGCAAACAATAGCACTACATTACAAGCATTTCATTTTCTGGAATTTGGTGATGTTTGCAGGGGCATGGAAAATCGCATTTTGCAATTAAAGTATGCAATGTAGTGCTGAACAATTTACCTGAGGTTACACAGCTGGGAGGTGTAGAGCAGGGATTTACACCCAGGTCTGTCTCACTCTGAATTCTGTCTTCTTTACAGGAGGCCTGGTTCTAATTCTCAAATTGCATGAATTGACTGGAAGCTCAGGAAGAGGATCCTCCCCGGGAAAGAGGTAGAAGGAACCAAAGTAGAGGGAGAAACAAAAACCCAGTCCTTGAGTTCTTAGAATGACAGTTATTTCAGAAGAGCACATTGAGACATCAAGGCTATAAAACTCAAATGAAAACCCCAGCCAGCCTTCCTGACAAGCCCATGAGATATTGCACTGAATATTTTTCATTTTGCAGATGAGGAAACAGGGTGAAAGAAGTTAAATAATTTACCCAGAAACATCCAGCTAATATCTTTAAGGCCTGGGATTCAACCCAGGTATATCACCTTGGATTCTTAGTTACAAACCACAGAACCCAATATTGGTTAGTAGAAACAAGTGATTTTTATAAAAGATATTGAGTGACCCTGGTGAACCAAACATGAAATGCTCTCCCAGTCACAGGCTGAATCACTGAATTAGTTCAGCACCTTATACTCCTAATGTAACCACTAGGGCACTCATGCTAAAACATCTCCTACTCCTGCCTCTGAGAAATAGATGTAGCTGTTACCACTCTTGTTTATACACATTTTTGAGCATATGGCTCCCTCAGAGGGAATAAATTAGTCAGTCCATCAAGGTGGACTGCTTCCTTGGAGCGGGAAAGTGTTCTGAAATGCTGGGAGTATAAAGACTTTGTTTATTGTTAGCTGAATTCCTAATGCCTACAAAGTGCTTAGCATGTAATAGATGTGTAATAAGAGCATATCAACTTATTGATCAAATAATTCTGATTTTAAAGTTCATGCCCCTAGACACTATGCCTCTTCATAGATGGTCCATGATGAGATCTAACACAGAATATGTGATTGCACACTAATGAAATTATATAAAGTCTCTATCCTGTATAAAGTATCTTCATTCATTTACCCAAATGTGCTGTTGTGATTTATGAATATGAGTTCTGAGGGACAAGGGCGTATCTATCTTGTTTACCATTATATTATTCAATTTTAATACATTGCTAAAAATAAATAATTAAATAAATGAGTAGACTGATAATGAGTTTAAGAGGCAAGGTAGTCAAGATTTGGGAATGCATGCTAAGGTAGTGCCAAGGATGGCATCTCAGTGTTTAGCTTGAACACCTGGTGGGAGGGGAGCTGACATTTACTGAGCACGGGAAGACAAACAGGCTCTGGGAGGGAGATCATGATTTAGTTTTGGACTTGCTGATTTTTTGTCTGGGAGACATGAAAGTGGGGTGTTGAGTGGCTTGCTGGATAGATGGGTCTGGACCGAGGAGCAATGTCTGGAATGGAGGTATAAATTTGGGAGTTGTCAGTGTTGAGCTAGTAACGAAGTTGGAGTCATAGACATGTAAACATATGATATATACAATACATGAAACTACATATGAATCTAAAAATACTTAAATATGAAATTAAATACATGCATAAACCATGTAAATAGT